TGACACTTGCACCCTTTTTTGGAATTTCTTTGACCCGTCCTCTCCCACCACCACCTATTATGGTTGTTTGGCGCACTCCACCAGTGGGATCCTTCAAGATCAACACTGATGGATGCGTCAAAGATGGATTTGCAAGTGGTGGAGGCATCATTAGGGACTACGCAGGATACTGTATCAGGGCATTCTCAGCATCGTATGGCCCATGTTTCATTTTGGAGGCTGAGCTCAGAGCCATACTAGATGGGCTTCTATTGGCCAGAGGACTTGGGATTTCAGCTATCTAGCTTGAGGCAGATTCAACATTGGCTATTCACTGCATCACCAAAGGTGGAGGACCATGGTCGATTCAGGGTATTCTCAGACAGATCAAAGACTTCATTTGCTTCGATAGAGACACAGTTTCTCACATCTACAGAGAGGGTAACCAGGTTGCTGATTCTCTTGCTTCAGAAGGCTGGGATCACCAGCGCTACCAAGAATATGGACCACTGGACCTGCCTCGACAGATTAGGGCATTGGTACAAATCGACAGATATGGATTGCCCAGCTTTAGAGGTTTGTAGTTTAGGCAATCATTATTACATTTTTCTTGTACAAGGAGGTAGTACTTCCTCATTTACTTTATTCATTTTTAATATTTCATTTGTTGCACTGTTCCTTTTTGGAGGTCAGGTTTATGCCCCCCTCCTTCACTGTACTTTTGATATTTATGAAATAAACATGGTTGGGGAACCCTTAACCCCCATCGACCTTCCTTGGTGGACCCTAAAAAGTCATTAAGGATGTGTGGATGTCATTATTAAAAAAAAAAAAAAAACCCTAAACCCTAAACCCTAAAACCCTAAACCCTAAACCCTAAACCCCGAACCCTCAACCCTAAATCCTAAAACCCTAAAACCCTAAACCCTAAGGCCTAAACCCTAAAACCCTAAACATCGACCTTCCTTGGTGGACCCTAAAAAGTCACTAAGGATGTGTGGATGTCTTTACAAAAAAAAAAAAAACCCTAAACCCTAAACCCTAAACCACCTCCAATGGTCATACACTCCGATCTACCTCCAAAACGCTCTCCCTTCTCTCTAGAATGGGAGAAAACCTCCAAAACTCCAACAAACTTGATCCACCACCAAAACCACAAGATTGCAGCACTCTAAATGGTGGAAAATCATCACCAACAACCACCAAAACATCTCCTATAACCCCAATATCAGATTCATCCCCCAACTCAATAGATCTGAGTTTGAAAAATCATGGCACGAATCCCAAGGTC